ACTGCCTTTTGACAAAGGCTCTGAGATGAGAAGCAACTACAGCATTGACAATCAACATTTGTTGAGAAACAAGAGGAGCTTCTTGTACTTTATGTGGAAGGCACTTCATTTGCTGGAAATTCTCTTTAGCTCCACTTCATTTGCTCCAGTCACCACCTCCCACCACATCACTACTCTGGTTTGAGTGGCCTCCTAGCAATGTATCCTCCCTTGGGAAAATAGCTTTTCCACTCCAGTGTTGAACGGTCCTCTGTGGCCATGCTAGAACTGGGAAGGTTCATTTCTTAGTGAGTCCCTTACCTCTAGATGCAAGGAAGCAAAGCTGCCCAGCGAAAATTCTCCATGCTTTGCAGCATCCTCACGCACTGTCAGTCAAAATGGTTTTAAAACTGGTGGCAGCCGCTGTTTTCCACAATTGTCCTTATTTCCAGGTTTAGGTATTTCATAAGGATAAGTAGGAAAAGGTGCATTTCTGTCCAATAGAGGAAGAGCCAGTCGGCCTGATCACTATGGCTGTTGACATACTTTCTCAGGTATCAGCACTCATTTTTTTGAGCTTGCTTGATCGTCTCAAAGCTCTTCCTGGTTGTGTCACTGGTGATCAAGGAACCAACAAAGGCAAGTGATCTGCTGGACCTGGTACTTAAGAAGGAAGATCAGCAGCATCCTTGGCTGCAGTAACCATGAGATGGTGGAGTTCAGAATGTGTGTCAGAGGGGTTGATACTGTTTAATATCTTCATGAATGGACCTCGATGCAGCAAAACACACCCTCAGCAAGTTTGAAGATGATACAAAATCTGGAGGAGTGGTTGATGCACTAGATAGTGACACTGTCATTTAGAGAGACCTCAGGAGGCTGGAGAAATGGGCTGACTGGAACCTAATGAAGTTGAGCAAAGAGAAATGTGAAGCCCTGCACCTGGGCTTTGTTGGTGGCTGACAGACTGGAAAGCATCTTTGCAGAGAAGGGCTGGGGGGTCCTGATTAACACCAAGTTGAACATGAGTCAGCAGTGAGTTCCTGCAGTACAGAAGGCCCACAGCATCTGCACATAAGGAAGAGCATTGCCAGCATGTCAAGGGAGATGAGCATTTCCACTCAGCACATCTGGAGTGCTATGTGCAGGGGGCTTCCCAATACAGGAAACTTGAAATTCAAAACCTGACTGGACAGAGTCCTGGACAACCTGCTTTACCTGAGCTTGCTTGAGTGGAGGGGTTGGACTGAGCAATATCCAGAAGTGCTTTCCAACCTCAGCTGTTCTGTGAGCCTGTGTGATTCTGTTTTCCAGCTGTAAAGTGGGCTGGCATTTGTTTTGGGCAGAAACAAGCAATTGAAGTCTATTTAAAACTAATTTAAATTAAGACAGTGTTTGATTTTATGTTCTTGATAAAGGTTTATTACATGGTGTCATGTAAAAAGAGTAAAGTACTTTGGCAGGAAATAGACCCCCTTGTGTTCCAGCTTGTCCTCAGATATCAGAGGGGCTGGGGGTGGCTGGGTTTAGATTCTGAGTGATGCTCAGTCTGGCACTATGAGACCAGCCGCATTCAGTGTGACTGAACCGTCACGATTCAGGATTCACAGCACGCTGCACTCCTGCCTAGTCACGCTCCATGGCATCACACGGCCAGTAAAGAGCTGGCGGTGCCCGATAAGAGCCCTCTGTGGCTGGCTGTGTAAAGTGGAGTTTATTCCAGCGACAGAAACACAGGTTCTTATGGATCGCTGGGGATGGTGCACTGTCTGCAAAGCATGTGCAGATATTGAGACTGTGGATAATACAGCACGCAGGATCTAATAACATACAACACCATACACTAAAAACCTAGGAACATATAACAACATAAAACTACTTGAGTAATACAGCAGCATAAAATGACTCTACAGAGATTTCTAAGTTTCTTAGGAAAATATTTGGTATAACTAAGAGTGTAAGTCTCACCTAAGGTGTCCCTATGGGGGGAAGAGAGGCTCAGCCCATCAGTTGATCCCAGGAGTCAGAGGCAATCTGCGACGGTATCTCCCCTGACCTGTTCAAGATGACGTCTTCCCTCACATCCCCCTTTTCTTCAGCCATTTTTATATTAAGATTTCTAAGTTTCTTAGGAAAATATTTGGTATAACTAAGAGTGTAAGTCTCACCTAAGGTGTCCCTATGGGGGGAAGAGAGGCTCAGCCCATCAGTTGATCCCAGGAGTCAGAGGCAATCTGCGACGGTATCTCCCCTGACCTGTTCAAGATGACGTCTTCCCTCACATCCCCCTTTTCTTCAGCCATTTTTATATTAATTTCTATCTTCAGGGTGGAGCTCACGTGACTCCAGTCCTACATACCTTTACCTTTGGTTGGTGTAACGTTCTCTTGCTTCGTTTTTAAAGGTATAGATTAAGAAAATTCAGTGGGCACACTAAGTGAGGGGTGGTCACACCTCGGAGGCGGGGAGCTTTTGGGGTTTGGGATGGAGGTGTGTTTTGGTATTATAATGACATTATAACGAGCAAAGTTCGCAGAAAGGACAGCGTTTTGTCAAAAACCAACAGACTGTTGGCCCAGGGTGGCAAAGTGTAGCTTTCACAGTTCGTAGCACCAGTAAGTTCCCATCTCTGCGGTGATTCACAGAGCCTGGCTGCGGAATCTTCAGTCGGCTCCACGCTCCGCAGGCAGTCATGTTCAGGAACCACCATGGAGTGGATTCCTGGCATACCAGCTGCAGCATCACTTCCCCTGAAAGCCCCTTCAATACCAGGTCGTGCCTTAATGGAGGAACAATGCCCGACCTTTAATAAAAGTTTATTATAAGTCACCCTCAGTAATTATTCAACACATGGAGGCAAGTAACTTACATAGATGTATATGTAGACTTACATATAAGAGACAAGTTCAAGATATCCTGCCAGTACAAAGACTCCTAGGATACTTCAGCAAGGAGAAAAATGCCACCAGATTGGTGAGGAAGAAGTCTCCAAGCACTTAGCACGAGCACAGCCCATGGTAAAAGTCACTCAGTACAGAGCTGACTTTCATGAGACTGCTGATGAAAGTCAGTTATGTACCGTGTGACTTTTACCACAGACTTCCAGGTGTGAGCAGTTGTGGTAGCAATGAAAATTACGCTTTCATGAGCATTTAAGTGATACAGGAGAGTAGGTCCATTTAATTTGCAATAGGACTTGGGGTCTTGTAATCACCTTGAAAACTGGCTGCATCTTCTAAACTTGTTTTTGAAAATCCATGAAGAGTGATCAGTCCTCTGAACTTGACAATGAAACTACTTAATCCATTTGTACTACACTGTTGGACATTGTATTGACTTATTCTGTACACACCAGATTTTTCAGCATCAGATGAGAAAAAATTAAATCCCCATTTGGACTTCTTAAATACAGAAAATCTGAATTTTAAATACATACATGGTTAAATTTTAGCCCATGTGTGTTTTTGGACATTTGTATCTGAACAAATGTTTTTGAACATTTATTTGAAACACATTTGTATATTTTAACATCTTGCAAATTCAGGTGCTTATGCTGTCCCAACTCAAATGCTTAGACAATTGAACCATTTTGGGGTGTGCGACCAGTTGAGCACTGTATGTTACTGACTTTAAGTATCTTGAGGTGCTGGAAAAGCATTCTGCTGTGAAGACTTGCAGGCCCCTGAACCTGTGTTGACACGTTTTTATGAGTAGCAGTGAAGCAATAAATATTTAAGAAGTGGGGGTAGTTCTACATGAATCACACCTGCAACTCCTGTCCCAAGGAGAGTTCAGCTGTGTAGGCAAAACTGAACTTCATCACCTCTAAGAGAGGCGCAGTTTGAAGATGTGGGGAACAGAGGTATCCTGTTTGGAGATGCGATGAAGCAGCCACTGAGCTGCCGCTGCCATTTTCTCCCATGTCCGACTGCAAGTGCTCTTGGTTTGTTCCTTGCCAAAACAAAGCAGAGAATCACGATTCAGGCAAAATTGAGGGCTCAGGTATTTTATTTGCATGGGGAGACTCTTAGATCTGTCCTTGTTGGCTGTATTTTCATCCCTCACACAGCATTGCCTGTGTCACCTCCCTTGTCAAGGTACCCTCACAGAGTAGGACATCCAGGGACCACACTAGATCAAGGAGATGAGGTTCCCAGACCCATGGACTGAAGAGGAGTGTGTGCCTGTAACAGAGTTGAAGGTACCCCTACTTTGCACTCCTGCCAGCTTCTGGACCAGATAGGGATCCTCAGCCCTTGCTCTTCCTGTCAGGAGCATGTCCTTTATTCCTCCTTCTGCCTTCTCCCTCCTGTTATTGGGGTCCAACCCAGTTTTCCCCTATGTGGTTCTGCCTCCTGCAGAATGGTGCTACTTGTGCTCACCTCCTTCTGCAGGCATGGCAGTGCCAGGAGTCCAGCAAAGTAAAAGCATGTTGAGGAGGCTATGCTAGAGGAGATGGGGTTGTCCACATGTGCTACAGTGGGTGTTAGCCCCGGTCGTCTCTGTCCTTACTCCTGCCTTGCCAGGTGCTTTACAGATCTCCCCTAGGATTTGGTGGTCCAGGTCAGATCAGAGCATGGCATCAGAGGACTCAGAAGGGAGACAAAGCTCCTTTCCCACCATGCACCTTTGTTGATTAGCAGACTGTTAACGCTCTTGCCTCTCCTGGCAGCACACAGATAAGGAGGCAATGGTACCAGAGCCACCAATTTTGTTGGCCATTTTCTGTAAATTCTACAAAAGAGTCTATAGTCTGTATTGTTCCACTCCTGGCAGCTGCCTCTTTTACCTGGACTGAGGGGGGCTCATGGTCATGGGCCAGAAGCCCATTCTGTGATAATGACTGTAAAAGCCACGCAGACTTCCAGGACTAAAACCCTCCCCAGTAGCTGACCCTGGCACTGTGACCTGCGCTGCAGTAGGATAGCAAAGCATTTGCTTCTTGCTTCATGAGTAAGTGGGGCTTGGGATTGCATCGGGCTGTGGCTGTGTACTAACCTGGCTGTGCCTTCCTTCCACAGGGAATGATCTCTTTCTGGTTGCAGTCCATGAGCTGGGACATGCGCTGGGTCTGGAACACTCCAATGATCCCAGTGCTATCATGGCTCCTTTCTACCAGTACATGGAAACACACAACTTCAAGCTGCCTCAGGATGACCTCCAAGGAATTCAGAAAATCTATGGTGAGCAACATTATCCACTCATCTATTTACACTGAGCTCAAGCCTAGTGAGTATCTTACAGCCAGAGACAGGTAAACCCCAAAATGCTTGCAGCTGGTGGGCTAGATTTCCTGTTATCACTGAATGGGGAACCGTTTAAAGCCCTTGATGCACAGCCAGATATCAGACACCTCTGTCAGTGGCAGTGTCTTTGCACAAGTCAGAATAGCCAGACCTCTGTGATCTCACTGCTGCTCCATCCCTCACTCTGTCCCCAATACCAAGGAGCGCTAGAAAGAGAAAAACAGGCAGTCACTCTACCCAGGGTTTGTCTGATGGGAACAGCCAGTGCAAACAGAGGGGAAGAATGTGAAGAACATGGAACATTAAGGGAAGGGAAACATTATTTATGTACTCATTTTTTTCTCCATATATAGAAGGCAGGGGGGAAAAAAGTGTTGGATCTGGTTAGGGAGCACTTCTTTTAATCTCCAGCTGAACATTGTTGTACAACATGTGCCATAAAGGTATGGGATCAAAGAAAAGAGAGGGAAAAGAGGCAGAGCGGTTATGGGAGAAAATTAAGGGGCTGGAGATGATGTGGTACCATGTGATGGGATCATGGATACCATGGTGTGAGGACAGGGACTTTCAGAGAATTATTGGCTAAAGGAGACTCTGGGAACAGAGGGAAATGTAGGTTTTAGGAGCCACAGTCAAAAGGAGGCTGTGTTAGAAGATGTTAATGGATACAGTCTGTGGCAGCCCATGGAAAACAAGTTTTGTCAAACAACCCTGATTTTATTCTTTAAGGAATGTACAGCTTTGACAGAGATGTGGAGACCAGTGACGAGCAGCGTT